GCAAACCAACTACTCCCACAGACTATTTCAAACTTGATTACACTTAATTGATGCTCATGTAACCTCTAATTGAATCTTGTTACTGTTTCAGGTGTTTTATGTGCATGTGTATTGCCACTGTTACTTTTTTAAGAAATTCAATTACTGCTTATCTTTTCTTTGAGTTAGGTAATTAAAAATATGATGATTTTTTAAAGATTCCATAAGTATCTGTGTATGGGAGTTATTCTGTCATAGTCAATTGCTTCTGTTGATTCTTGCCAAGAATAGATTATTGACAGATTGGACTCTGGTGGTGTGTCCTGACAGTACATTCATAGCTTGATCTCATGGTTGCTTCTTCCTTTTGTTGGTGCTTTCTCTGCAATTATCAATATATTGTTACATTCTTCTGCTTTAAAAAAATTTTCATGACTGCTTTGCTTCTTCTTTTTGTGCTACAAAAATAGTGGATTTATGGTCTGTTGGGTGCATTATGGGAGAAATGGTTTGCCACAAAATCCTCTTTCCAGGAAGGGACTGTATCCTTGTGCTGTTGCAGCATGCTGAATTTTTGGTAATTTGTAGTTTTTTTGTTTTTTGTGATGCCTCTCCCCCCTCCCTATTTCTGAAATATTGCTTTTGGGAAATGCTTCCTATGCATTTCTTCAAGATAATACCTTTTTCTATAAGTACACAAATTGTTATCAGAAGAAATTTGATTTTGTGGAGGCTGCATCTGGCCGTAGGAAATAGTCTCTGCTGGTACAGCAGCAAGCTCATCTTTTCTCTCTCATTCATTTTTCATCCTACACTGCTCTTCGTTGTCATTGGGTATTGTTATTTTCTCCTTTTAACGTTCTTTTTTTGCTTTTCTTTCAATTAGTTAATGTCATTGCATTTTGTTTTCAGTTGACATTTGGTCAGTGGGGTGCATCATGGGAGAAATGATCAAAGGTGGTGTATTATTTCCTGGTACAGACCGTATCCTTACTGTGGGCTAGAATCTGAAGGTTAAATGTGTTCTGGCATTTTCTTTTGCAGTGTTAAATGATACTGTTCCAACCTACTGAGGTTTTAAGTCTATATGTAAAAATGTAATATAAATATTCACTCTCTGTTTTTCCCCATTAAAAGCATCATATATTCTGTATCGACCTACTTGCCTGTAAAGAAATAGCTGATATGCTTCAGAGGAGCTGTACATTTGATTAAGCAATTTGAATTATTGTGCTCTTGTGCTACTTGAGCTTGAGTGGGAGGTGTTCCTGATGGGCTTCATGTACAAGACATTCAGTAAGGTTCATTACTTTATTGTGAATGTCTGGTTTCTTGTAGCATCACTTTTTGCAGACACTTCTTATTATGCTGAGTATATTACTTTAATTATTTACATTTTTTTAGTTTTCTATTCGAACTATACCAATTATCTGATATCCTCTTGATCCTCATTTGTTTGTGAACACCTTCATTAAGAGTTCTCTTTAATGTATGGTATAATTAAGATGGAGCAGTAGGAATACCTGATCTGGATGTAATCTGGAGAGTAGTAGGAAGAATCCCCTGGCCAATGATTGCCACTTGCTCAAGGCCTTTTCCAAGCCTTGATGTTTTCTTCCTTGTTTTCTGATCCCTGATTGTCCAGAACACAGATGAACTGTAATATTTAATATTGGGAAGTATATTTGCTTAATACAGCAGTTGTGCTCAGGTCAAGATTGACTTGATGCCACATGATGATTATTACTTCCCTGACTACTGCAGAAAGATGCTTAACTTAAACAGAAATGTGAGTGAGTTGGTTGCTAGGCACCCACTTGAATTGGCAACTTCAAATACATGGCACAAACTTGCACATTACAGCAAGAAACGTCTAGTCCTTGCAAATAGGTGTGGAGGAAAACACCGTTTGATTCTGATGAAGACGGATACTTTGTGATTTTCCTCACTGCAATACATAACACAAAGGGGTATCTGAAGGGCTGTTTTCTAGATGAAAGTCAAAAGTTTCCCTGTGGCTATTTCAGTGTCTCTCTCTTCATTCAAGAGCAGAAGACAGTATGCATGGGAGGGGAGTTTAACCCTCAGTATGTAAAGAAGTTAATATGTTATGTTCAGTAGATATTGGTTCCTTCTTTGGATTACTTTGGCACCCCCAAATAAGGATCATGCGTGTACCCGTTATAGAGTTTAACATACAGCAGAAAAACTCTTTTGCAGAGCTTTAGCTAGCCTAAAAACTACTGTCCATACATGTTCAGAGCCTTGTTTCATGTTATAAGCTGAAGAAGACCTTCTGAGGAAAAGGCTGTTTAATTTGTAATATATCAGAACATTGCAAGATTTTAATTTTAATCCATGTGAATTTTGACATCTGTAGTTAATATTAAACAAGTTATTTACTAAAGTTGCACAAGAAGTTAACAAAGGCATGACTTGAGTTTCAGAGAAAGTGAAAATTTGCACACACTTGTGGCATTTTGGTTAGTCCTAATACAGACATTTCCCACCTGCTGGTTTTGAATTTAATATTCTTTCTGTACCAGAATGGTAATTGGGGTTTTTGGTTTGTTTGTTTGTATGTTTATTTATTTAACTTATATGCCACCCACACTACCCAAAGGGCTCTGGGCTGGTTACAACAATTAAAATACATTAAAAAAAATAAAACAATTAAAATACAATTAAGATACTCTAAAAATTGCCATCAGGACGTACTGTTGATATTATTTCAATTAAAAGCCTTCTGGAACAGGATGGTTTTGACCTGGCACCAAAATGTCATCAGCGTCAGCACCAGACAAATCTCCCTCGGGATGGCGTTCCATAGTCTGGGGGCAGCTGCCAAAAAGGCCCTTTGTCTACAAGCTATCCCTCTTACCTCCTTGAGGGACGGCTCTTTCAAAAGGGCCCCCTGGCTAAATCTTAACTGCCAGGTAGGCTCATATGGAAGGAGGCAGTCCTTCAGGTATCCAGGGCCCAAGCCGTTTAGGGCTTTATATGTCAAAACAAGCACTTTGAATTGGTCCCAGGCAGCAACTGGTAGCCAATGTAATTTAAACAGAATCGGCTTGATGTGTCCCCTAGCGGCCAAACCATTCACCAACCGCGCAGCTCGATTATGGACCAGTTGCAGTTGCCGGACCATCTTCAAAGGCAGCCCCACATAGAGCGCATTGCAAGGGAGTGTAACCCCATTCAGGGCAGGGAAATGGCCCTCCAGCCTGTCCGGCGAAGCACCCACTAACAGCACTTCCGTCTTGTCTGGATTGAGTTTCAATTTATTAACCCTCATCCAGTCCATTAGCAGGTCCAGACACGAGTTCAGCACAGAAACCGCCTCACCTGGATTGGTGGAAAACAGTAGGTAGAGCTGAATGTCATCAGCATATTGCTGACTCCTCAGCCCAAACCTCCTGAGACCTCACCCAGCTGTTTCATGTAGATGTTAAACAGCATGGGGGACAGTATCGAGCCCTGAGGAACTCCATGACATAAACGCCATGGGGCAGAGCAACTGTTCTCCAGCACCACCCTCTGGACATGGTCAGCCAGGAAGGAGTGGAACTGCCGTAAAGCGGTGCCCTCAACTCCAAACCTATCCAGCCTATCCAGAAGGACACTATGGTCGATGGTGTCAAAAGCCGCTGAGAGGTCCAGGAGTACTAACAGGGTCACACTCCCCCTGTTTCTCTCCCGGCAAAGGTCATCGTACAGGGCGACCAAAGTAGTCTCCGTACCAAAGCCTGGCTTGAAACCCGATTGAAATGGATCCAGAAAATCTGTTTCATGCAGCAGCGCCTGGAGTTGCCTGGCCATAACCCATTCCAAAACTTTGCCCAAATAAGGGAGGTTTGCCACTGGTCAGTAGTTAACCAGCAGCCTTGGTTCCAGGTTTGACTTTTTTAGGAATGGCTGAATTACTGTCTCTTTCAAGGTGGCAGGGACCACTCCCTCTCTCAAAGAGGCGTTCATGGCCTCCTGGACTCAAGTGCGAACCCCCCTGGCAGATCTTCCAATTACCCGAGATGGGCAAGGGTCGAGCGGAGTGGTGGTAGAACGGACAGATCCAAGCACTCTGTCCACATCCTCAGGTCTCAACAATTGAAACTCATCCATTAATACTTGACTTAAGCACGGCACACTGAACACATCCTCTGATTCTGCAGTAACCGTGGAGTCCAGCCCACTGCGAATCTGAGCGATTTTCCCCTCAAAATGAATGGCAAACTCATCACAGCGAGCTGATGAGCAGTC